TTTTAAAGCACAAACGCGCTCAAGCAGCAAGCAAGGCGGGGTAAGCAAAGAGACAAACCTCTTTCTCATCGTCCGTCATATCTACCAGGCCCAACGGCTCGACCTGGCCCCCATGATCCCAGCACACTTCCGGGCCGGAGGGGTTATCCTTCGAATCTTCCCGTTTCCCCCAAGCGCCGTTAACAGGTGACGTCTCGTGGGGATTCCAGTCAGCTACGAAGTAATCTGCAACATTCTTCCCCAGTACGCCCGACTCTCGTTGGGTTTTGTAGAGACTAAGTAGCTGATCCTTTGAATAACGCGTGTCGGTAGCTGCTCCGTTGCGGAGTGCGCTGGACTGGTAGGTCGAGGACATATGCGGAGGAGTGTAGGTGCCCACGGTGGGAGTGGTAGCCGACGTGGGTTGGCTGGCATCCCGGTTATGAGAAGGGTTTGTCGCAACGGACGGACGGCGGAAAGTCTGTGTTGCTCCATTCATGCGAGTTCGAGACCTGCATGTCCCCGGTTGAGGATGAGTTGTCAGTTCAACTCCGCCACGCAAAACCGCCGGGAGGGACTAGGACGGCGGCCAAAGCAGCGGGTAGACCGCATAGAACCAGTTAGAAGAGCATTGCGTACCATTCTCCACCGGCAGAGCCATCCCCTCTCCTGTTCGAGGAGTCGTGGGTGTTGCCAGCGGCGGCCGAGGCAAAACTAGACGGAAGTGGCGTGGGCATTATGAAGGTCGGTAGCTGGGCGACGGACGATAAGAATGCCGGTCCAGTTGGGAAAAAGAAAGAAGTTCGGGGAGACGAGAATCTAAAGAAAGGTTAAGTTAAAAACCGTGGATTGTAAAAACAAAAAGGAGCGATGCGAACGTTTTTTCTGGGGGGAAGATGTGGAAGGGTGGGTTGGAGACAAGCAGCAGTCCGTAGAGCTGGTGAGGAGAACGGATCAGCGAGGGGGAGAGAGGCAGACAGCAAGGTGGAGGAGGACAGTAAGACGATTGGGGGGGAAGCAAAAGAACACACCTTTGTGTCTTTGGGATAGAGATCTGGAAAGAAGCCGGGGGCGGATTGAGAGTCGAGGTCGAAAACAAGAACGCTAGACGATCCAGAGTCGAGATCAGAAGATCGAAAGGATCGAGAGTTCCTGGCAGGTCAAGAAAAATGAAGAGGCTTGCGGCGAATTAGCTGGTGGCCGTGGAATTACCACCGTACGGGTCGTGACGGACGTGACGAAGTGACTGTTTTCGTTGTTTTTTCTGTGTTTTTTACTTCGTTTTCGCGCTTTTGGTCGTACCGCCAGATCGCCTTGTGCGACCGCAATTGGTTTATTATTATTATTACCTCAGCCCACACTGGTTGTGAAACTGCCGCACAAATTGGTGGTCTGGTTTCTGTTTCCTTTTTTTTTTCTTCGCTGGATAGCTTCCAGGGAAGGTCGGGTATAGATAGATAGCTCATCCTCAGCCTTACATGTGGTGCAAGCTGCCCATCGCAATTAATTTCAGTCTACAGGTGACAGGTCAGATTTGACCCGACTATCTCCAGTTATCCAAAGATTCCCCCAAACCTGGAGTTTGATGGTGCATTTCCGGGACAGTGCGTGGCCATAACATCCCCAGACAAACCTACGACGGATTACTGCCACGCTGACACCGTCACTGGTGGTTTGGCCGCAAACGCTTTGGTTTCTCTCGACGTGTCGCTTCAACTCAACGTCAGAGAAATTCCACTGGGATGGAGAGGAAGCTCTCCCCCGGGTATTTTTAGAATGTCAAAAAAATTTTTTGAGGGTCGGGCTATTTACATAGTATTGTGGTTAGCCAGCTTCCAACTCCCTGCTTTCTACCTTTTCATTGTAGATACTATTCAAAGCTAGTAGGCAGGTAATTCAGCACTGCATAATGTAAGGCATCATCAATGAATTGTGTGGGAGAAGAAGTCAGTGTCGTCACTCTGAAGAACAACCTTCCGTACCAGCCCCATACATACCATACGGCCAACGTACATGCCAGGTACACCCACATACTAAAATAGGTGGCCAGTGACTTGCCAGTGACTTCCATCCGTACCGTACCCCAACCTCCACTCTGCGGCCTGAGGCACGTATCCCATCGCAGCTTTACTTAACAAGCAATCATCAACAGTCAGTACAACACAACACCACAATCCTCGATCTGCAACAATCCGGTTTGCCTGCAGTGCTGGGGATAGACATGTTTGCACGGCCATCGGCTTCTTGTACGACCTTTAATCCAAAATCTACATGGATGATGCCTGTGGTTTGTTCCTGCTATCGTGCCATCCACTGCCAATATACAGGTCATTGACAGTTTGATGCTCAATCATAAAATACCTTCATTATCAACACTGGGGATGATCAGACCAGAGCTCATGTGGACTGCAATCGCGCGAACACATACTGTGTAGGGATAGAGCCGCTGTGCATTCCAGACGAACGCGAACAATCTCCCGCAGTTCACCATTCCTCCAAACAGAATGCTGATCTGTCAACTGCCATTTACGGCACTCTCGCAGATCAATATTATAACTTTCAAAGGCAGCAATCAGAATCGCATAATTGCAAACAGAATCCAATAAGATCGGCGAACCAAAGCCGCACCGTATCAAGAAGCATCTAACATGATAATACAGTACAATTAGTCTACTCGTTAGCACCAATTTGCGTCGAGGTCAACAAACAGGCTTCACTGGCATCCATATATCTTCATAACATAGCTGCTATCGACAGACTTTAACAAGCAAGCATCCACTACATCCCACAATAGTACGCCTTGATAAGATATGCAGTAACATCTCGCGCTCATCACCGTTTCCACAATCCCAAAGGGACTGCAATCAATTCAATTGATATGTTCCTGGGAATGATATCTCAGAACAGACTCTCGATCTCCCTCTCCGCTCGGTCTAGAAATTGGGATCCAGCAAGGCAACAGCAGCTCTCAGACAGCAGACCATCTGCTATACCATCTATCTTTCATAGCAAGCATGCCTTTCCCGCTTCACTGACATCTTAGCAATAAGTGGTTCTCCTTCACTCCTAGAGCCAATCTTTGATATGGTCAATGGCTCGGCCCCCTCTCTATCTTGCTTAAGAGACACAACAATATACATTACCTCATACTGTAGTCTCAGAATGTACTATAGCCCAACTACAGCATATTCCATTGATGTAGATGCACTTTCAAAGTCAATATTCAATAATAACTGCACGACTATATTGCCGGTAAGCTACCAAGCTAAGTAGACTTGTATATAGTGGAACAGGATCATGGCATCATCCTGGCTAATGAGGTAGGGGTGGCAATTCCTACTGGCTTGAATTTAGTTTGATTTCGTAACAGAGGCAAATCGTGGTGGTATATATTGCCATTTATCATGGAGATTACTCTTATTTCTTTCCCTTTGATTACTATTGTTGATGTGTTGGGATTAGTGTGTTGGTGGCAGATATATATTATAATCAATGTTCAATAGTAGCAGTTTAGCCCTCTCAGCCGAGGCTCAAGTATATATCACTATTATTACTATTGGAAAAAGGTTTGTAACGTTAATTGCAAGTAACAATTGAGTTGTACTATGTGAGAACCAACAAAGTTTAACAACAAACTTAAGTGTTCCTGTTCTAAAGAATAGTCCGGTCAATATCATATGCTGCGTAGATCTTCACCGCAAGCAACTTTCATGTCTCCTCCCGACGCACATCCTCGGCAACCGATAACGGCCTAAACAGCTCACCTCATCCCCGCACGCCGAACCGAACGGATAAGTGCATGCATGCTCCATCCTTTCCTAGTTTCACTCTACATATATTCATATTATAAAATTCCGTCTTTATATCTACAGCTCAAATTAACTAGTACATATCATAAAATTCCACACCATAATGTCGAAAGCCATCTTCCTCAACCCAATTGATGGTAAACCCGGAAAGCCGGGTCAAGTCTACTACCCCCTCGCTGTGAAGACCCTCCCCCAGCCTGTACCTCAAGGCCGCGAGGTTTTAGTGAAGCTCACAGCTACATCGCTAAACCACCGCGATGTGTTCCTCCGTCAACACCTCTATCCGGGCGTCACCTTTGACGTTCCCATGGGTGCCGACGGTACAGGAACCGTGATAGCCGCCGGTGAAGGAGTGCGCGATCCGCAACGCTGGATCGGGAAGCGGGTGGTCATCAACCCCGGAGTAGGGTGGGAGGAGTCTCTGGATGGACCGGAAGATCCGAAAGGGTACAGGATCATGGGCGGGACGAAATCGTACAACAAGGGGACGATGCAGGAGTATCTCGCTATTGATGAAGGGGAGCTGGAAGAGGTGCCGGAGCATCTGTCGGATGCAGAGGCGGCGTCGTTTCCGCTTACTGGCTTGACAGCGTGGAGAGCGCTGGTGGTCAAGGCTGGAGAGAGGAATTCGAGCAAAGGAGCTGCAGTCCTGGTGACTGGCATTGGAGGTGGCGTGGCATTGATGGCGCTCAAGCTCGCGGTGGCTAGGGGCGTGGATGTCTATGTGACGAGCTCTAGTGAGGAGAAGATCCGGAAGGCAGTTGAGCTGGGGGCTAAGGGAGGTGTGAATTACAAGCAGGAGAAGTGGGAGCAGAAGTTATTGGAGTTGTTGCCTACAGGGAAAGTGGCTTTCGATGCGATTATTGACGGGGCAGGAGGGGATTCGGTGGACAAGGCTGTCAAGTTGCTTAAGGTGAGCAGACCTCTCCCCTCTCTCGCTATCTGAGTACGTGTGGAATATCTGATTGGAATAGCCTGGTGGCGCTCTCTGTGTGTATGGTATGACGGTCGCACCGCAGATGCCCTTCTCTATGAAGGCTGTTCTCAAGAATATTGATGTTCGGGGCTGTACGATGGGCTCGCGGAAGGAGTTCAAGGAGATGGTCGAGTTCATCAAGACGCACAAAATTCATCCAGTCATCTCACGCGTTTTGCAGACTGACCTGGAGGATATCCCTGCGATCGATGGAATCTTTGAGGATATGAAGGAAGGGAAGCAATTCGGGAAGCTGGTGATTGAGTTCGGAAAGACCTCTGGAAGCAAACTGTGATGTAGTTATCATTGCCAGACGTTAGCTTTCTTCTGTGACAGTGTTCATTATGAGGAACGTAATGGACACGATGAAGCGGTACATGTCAGAGCAGCCTGAATGTGTAGTCGCACCTTCCCTGTGCCAGGTAATCCGTTTGCCTCCATGTCGCAACCGCTCTGAGTTGACTCCAAAGCCTCTGAAATTCATCACCACCACTCCCTAGCTTTCAGGCCACCAGCTCGTTTATCGTTTCATATCCAAGGATAGTTGGACCCTCATTGCTTGTTTAGATAGCGCATCATACTCGACTCGGCGAAATGGATGTCGATATTCTCACCCTATATGGACCTGGGATGTCCTTTTATCGGTCGCAGATTCAGTTGTCGTCTTCGAAAGAGAATGGTATAGTAGGAAAGGCGAAATCGTCCTCACTATCGGTGTGTCAGCTCCAGAACGTTCACCAAACAGGCAGCTGGGTGTACATTGTGTCTGCGGCACCAATACTGATGTCTATTCAGAGATACTCCTCGGCTCTTGAGTCGTTGAATGTCAGCAATCAGAACCTGGACCATAAAATGAGCATGCTACGCTCCAATGTATTCCGACTCAAAACCGATTTGTCAAAGCTCCAGCGCCACGTTAGGGCGTTTCACAATGAGCTCTTGACCACATGGCAGGCTGACACGCTTACCCGGCTGGTTGAAGTTGTCTACGAGCGACAAAATTGGAAGCTACCAGGAGGGGTCGCTGTCGGTGATCACATCCATTTGAGCCGCGAGAGACAGTCACGCATCTTGGCCACTGCTGCGAGGAGGATCAGAAAGCCGATACTCAGAAAGAATTTTGGGCTCTCGGTGCAGTACTACTCGGCTCTACAGAGATACGACGAGGTGAGTGGTCAACCCGTGGGGATTGAGCAGAGACCCAGCTCTGATGTCAGCAGATTGTCCATCTGCGCAGTACGAACGCTTTTCGGACGGAATGCACGTTTGCTCGAAGACTAGTTTCAGAAAAGGAGAATCACTGGGGCATGTATCGATTTTGGGGGGCACTGTTTCCTCTCTGCTATAGTCGGTCTGTGGAGGAGAGCGCCGAAATATTCTGATATTATTCCTGTGGGCGAACGAAAGAGATTTCTCATTTCAGGGACTGTCCTGCTTTCTGGTAGTCATCTCCGAATAGATAGCACTGAATGAAAGCTCGGTCAAGTCCCACAGGCTTGCAGCAGCCGTGGCGGGTTGAGTGAGACATGCTACCAAAACCGGGATAACCATCTGGTGTTGCTACCGATCCTATTTCTGGCAACGACCCATAGGCAATCCAATCATTGCCTGGCTAGTTTTCAAAGCCATTGAATCCGCCGTCCCAGCACGAAAGGCCCGGCTACGACTGTGACTGGCCATGTTTCTGGTATTTTCGACCAGCGGAGAGGACCTGCATAGGCTATGAGTTGGTTGGATAGCGTACGCCGTGCGGGATGCAGGATAGGCTTCGACCATGCAGCGCGAAGTCGGAAATTCCAGGATGAAGTCCACTAGACCGGATGTCACTACTCAAGCGCCACCCATTGCACGTTGTTAGCTCCCGGATCCGAAGAAACAGGGTTAAGGATGACCCTTCCCAGCTAGTATCTCACCGTTAGGCTGATAAGACACACACACCTGCGTCACAATGCATGACCTTGACCTCTCCCCTCCATAACGGCCAAGTCGTACGTAGTAGATAGGATGAACGAGTGCTAGACACTTGTGCGTGAGCACAAATAACCGACTGACGTCGAAGGATGGACTGAGATGGGGTATGACTAGGAAGCCCAGCAAAAAAAAGCGAAGATGACGGGATCAGCTGACTGACCGAGTCAGTGTCAGGTGGTAACTAGCGCATTAATGCTGGAATAGGGATTTTCTCTTCTCTTCTCTTCCCCCCCC